GTCGGTAAAGCGAACAAAACGACGCCAGGCAGACTTCGTAGACGAGCCTGAATGATTCGTTGGGGTCAACATTGAGAACTCCCTTTTCAAACCGCAATGCCGATCAGAGGGAGCTTCCGGGCTGCTGTCACAAGAACTACGTTCTCGAACATCGCCTTCTCCGTGTTGTCGTGACGGTGGCGGTGGCGTGACACAGTGGACGGAGCCATTTGAAGACGATTCACAAGGAAACTGTACAACAAGAAAATCACGTCAACGTATGACGAGGTCAGGGAAATAAACAAGAGGGAGCAAACTCACATTTCAAATATTTATCACAAAACAGTGGAACAACAACATTTGAATCCATATCGTTTTGTCGGATCCTGATGTGAGGCTCAAGTGGTATCTCAAGTCCGACTCCTCACCTACTCCTTCAGTGTGCAAGTGGTTTGGATATGTCTGAGTAAACTTGCACTTTTTCAGGCGAGAGTACAAATGCGAGCTGATTCAGACTTATTCAACGTACAGTAAGAAATTAAGTTCATGGTCGATACAAGACCAAACACAAGTGCGAGTCGATTCGGTATTTTCCACTAAACAGCGAGAAATTTTAAGTGCCAAAAAATTCGCACTTGAGAGGAACATTTCGATTACGCCGTGCAATAAGAAATTGCCTTCGTGGTTGGTTCAGTGGCGAGTTAACTCGCAAATACAAAACGACTTATTTCTTTTGGGCCAAGAAGATATACGAATTATCGACTAAAGAGGAACAAATTTAGGGGGATGGATGGTTGAAGAGCGAATAAATTCGCACTTGCAAACGAGCATTTCCATTATGAAACTGGAGCTTGTGGACTAAAGAGTCAAAAATTTGGGGGGATGATTGGTTGAAGAGCGAATAAATTCGCACTTGCAGACGAACATTTCGACTATGAAACTGGGACTTTTGGACTGTAGAGTAAGAAATTTAGGGGGATGGTTGATTGAAGAGCGAATAAAAGTGCATTTTCATTACGAAACTGCGGGTACAAGTGCGAGTTAATTCTGACCTATGGACTAAACAGTGACAAATTAAGGGGTTGGTTGGTTCAAGAGCGAATGAATTCGCACTTGTAAACGAGCATTTCCATTACGAAACTGCGGGTACAAGTGCAAGTTGTTTCCGGCTTGTTCTGCGTGTAGTACGAGCCACAGATTGTCGCAAGAGAGAAATAGGGAAAAATGGCGTGCTATTTTTTAAGAAGGAGAAAGATTGCGAAGCGATGGGCAGACGGCGCATAGATGAAAATACATGGACAAAGATGGCGCACCGAATGAGAGAGATGGCGCACCAAGAGAGATGGATGGAATCACAGTCTTCCCCTGAAAACAACGTCCGGTCATTACAGCTGAATTCGGGTCATCTTTCAGTCTAAAAACAACTGCAATGAAAGTGCGTTGTATATTCCGGGGAAGAAGGTGGATGGCGCAGGAAGGGAAAGAGATCGCGAACTGATTGGGAGGTGTGCCGCAGCGAGAGAGAGAGATTGCGCACCGGTGGAGAAACATGGCGCAACAATGGAGATAGCAGGCGCAGCGATGGTGAGCGATAGCACATCAATGGAGAAAGATGGCGCACCGAAGCAGATAGATGACGATGGAGATAGATTAGGAAAGATAGCGCAGCGATGGAGATAAATGACGAAGGAGATAGATTAGGAAAGATAGCGCACCGAAGGAGATGGATGACGAAGGAGATAGATTAGGAAAGATACCGCAGCGATGGGGATAKATGACGAAAGGTCGGTAGAGATCGCGCATCGGTGGAGAGAGATGGAGAGAGGACGCGCAACAATGGTTAGCGATGCCGCAGCGATGGAGAGAGAAGGCACAGCGATGACCAAAATTTGTTATTGCACAACATCAGTTCCATCGAGTTAAACCTTCGTTAAGCATACCTGTCTTTTGTTTCGTGCGATTCCACAGTGATGGGCGGCTGCACCGAGGACGACCTGAAACAACAATACAATGGCAATGGCGGGATCGCGCACGAGTAATGGAGAGCCTCTGGGGCAAGGATGGAGGTTGCCCAGTTGTCGAGAGAGATCACGCAGTGATGGAGTGAGATGGAGAGTGATCACTCAGCAATGGAGGGAGATCGTGCGGCGATGGAGAGAGAAATCGCGCAGCACTGCGGTGGGATAACACTGGCCAGGGCTTCGATAGGAACGCGTTACAATGCAGCGATAGCGATAGCGATGGCAGCGATGGAATAGCGATAGCGATTGCGCACCGCTGGAGAGCGATGGCGCAACGGTGGAGAGCGATGGTGCAGCGATGGAACAGCTATGGAACAGCGATAGCGATGGCGCAGCGATGGAACAGCGATAGGGAAGGCAGCGATAGCGATGGCGCACCGATTGAGAGATGGCGCAGCGATGGAACCAATGCTGCGATGGCGCAGCTATGGTACCAGCGTTGCGATGGCGCAGCGATGGCCGGTGCTGCGATGAGAGCGATGACGATTGTCAGCGCTGCGATGGTCAGGCGAGCGCGACGGCTGTGATGGGGGATATAGCTTTGCGTCGCGATGGCGATGAGCTAAGTGCATCGATGGCGATGGTGCATGGCAAGCGTTGGCGATCACGATGAGCTAAGCGCATCGATAACGATGGTGCATGGCTAAGCGCATCGATATCGAACGCCGTTGACATTTGCAAAATGTCCGAATGACAACGACACCGGAACTTATAGATTTCCGGTGTTTTTGACCTCGGCGCACAACGAATCGCCGCGCCTCGGCGGGAAATTAACCGTCGTCTGGCCTCGGCGCGCAACGAACCGCCTCGGCGCACAATGAATCGCCGCACCTTATAGATTCTTGCGCCTTACCTCGTGCGTCGGATCATGTCGATCGACGGTCCAGATTACAACTGCGAAAATGACATTGCCTGCCCCTTGTTTTCGGGAACTGTCACATCATTGCACACCAGAGTAGACGAAGATTTTTGGGCCACTGGCATAATAGTGGCTCCGTTCATCCGCGCGGTTGAAAATTGTTGATCGACGGCTGACAATTTCCGGTACCCCTTACCGTTTATAGGCCCTGGCGTTTTATGGTCCTAGGGGTGCGATACGCGAATCGATTCGACCCCACCTTGATGGCGTTTTATGGGCCCAGCGGTGCGATATGCGAATCGATTCGGCCCCACCTTGATCCCGATGCGAGGCCTGCTGTAACAAAGGATAACAGGCGTTGCAGCCCTCGAGTTATCCCTTTTGTTGGCGCTCCACAGATCAAGTTGCGCTATTGCTTCCGCACGCGTTCTGATATTTGGTCTTCAGCCCCCCCCACCTTCCGCCATAGCCCGCTCACTCTTCGCTCTTCACTCCGTCTGCAGTTGCTACATTGTGTTCGGTTCGCTCTTCGCTCCTCGGTCTTCGCTCTTCCTAGCTCTTCCTTCCTCACTCATAGCTGGTTCGGTGGTTGGTTGCTCGCTCAACGCACGACGAAGGTAAAATCATATAACTTGTCGATTCACACTTGTCGATAAACCACACTTGCGAACTGCGAGTTAGTTCTCACTTGTCGATTCACACTTGTCGATAAACCACATCTTACTCGTTTCGTGCGTCTTTCAGGTCTTCAGTTCCACAATTCCGAGTTAGTTCGCACTTTCCCCTAGTGCAGC